GTATGTATGTATGTATGTATGTATGTATGTATGTATGTATGTATGTTTGTGTGTGTGTGTTTGTATGTATGTATGTATGTATGTATGTATGTATGTATGTATGTATGTATGTGTGTGTGTATGTATGTTTGTGTGTGTGTGTGTATGTATGTATGTATGTATGTATGTATGTATGTATGTATGTATGTATGTATGTTTGTATGTATGTATGTATGTATGTATGTATGTATGTGTGTATGTGTGTATGTATGTATGTGTGTGTTTGTATGTTTGTATGTGTGTGTGTGTATGTATGTATGTATGTATGTATGTATGTATGTATGTATGTATGTGTGTGTGTGTGTGTATGTCTGGATGTGTATGAGTGAGTGAGTGTGTGAGTGAGTATGGTTTTACGCCGCTTTTAGCGATATTCCAGCAATATCACGGCGGGGGACACCAGAAATGGGCTTCACACATTGTACCCATGTCGGGAATCTAACCCGGGTCTTCGGCGTGACGATCGAACGCTTTAACCACAAGGCTACCCGACCGCCCCGGATGTGTATGTGTGTACATGTATATGTGTATATCATATGTGTGTGTATGTGTGTACATGTATAGGTGAATATATTTGAGTATGTGTATGTCTGGATGTGTGTGTGTGTGTGTGTGTGTACATGTATAGGTGTATATATATGTGTGTGTGTATGTGTGTACATGTATAGGTGCATATATTTGAGTATGTGTATGTCTTGATGTGTGTGTGTGTACATGTATAGGTGTATATATATGTGTGTGTGTATGTGTGTACATGTATAGGTGCATATATTTGAGTATGTGTATGTCTCGATCTGGATATGTATGTGTGTACATGTAAAGGTGTATAGAACAAAAATCAATATATAGAGCAAAGGTCGGTTGGTTGGTTGGTTTGTTTGTTGTTTAACGCCGCACTTAGCAATATTCCAGCTATATGACGGCGGTCTGTAAATAATCGAGTCTGGACCAGACAATCCAGTGATTAATATCATGAGCATCGATCCACGCAATTGGGATCGATGACATGCATCAACCAAGTCAGCGAGCCTGACCACCCGATCCCGTTTGTCGCATTTCACGACAAGCATAGTCACCTTTTACGGCAAGCATGGGTTGCTGAAGACCTATTCTACCCCGGAATCTTCACGTGTCATATAGAGCAAAGGAGGCATCATTGAATGTCACATCAGTTTGACCAGACATAATAACATATGTGAATGCAGATGACAGGCTATTCTCTTTCAGTAACGTTTGCTGATTACCGATCCATACCTTACTCCCCACACTGGTCGGCTCAGAATGGACACACTGACGTCACAGGGGGAACAAACACTTCCTTGAATTACAAGAGTAAAGTAAGCAAAGCCTAATATATAAACAGGATCACAGACGTAACAGACAATCTTCTAAAAAGAAAATTATGCATACAAATAAAAACAAAATTGCAGAATAGGAATGTGTTGTGTGAGGATGAGTGGAGTTTACGTAGGGGAGCGTATAGTAGCGACAAGTTATGTGTTGTACGAGGATGAGTAGCACGTTATGTGTTATGTGAGGATGAGTGGCAAGTTATGTGTTATGTGAGGATGAGTGGCAATTTATGTGTTGTGTGAGAAGAGTGGCAACGTAAGTGTTATGTGAGGATGAGTGGCAAGTTATGTGTTATGTGAGGATGAATGGCAAGTTATGTGTTATGTGAGGATGAATGGCAAGTTATGTGTTATGTGAGGATGGGTGGCACGTTATGTGTTATGTGAGGATGAATGGCAACGTATGTGTTATGTGAGGATGAATGGCAAGTTATGTGTTACGTGAGGATGAATGGCAAGTTATGTGTTATGTGAGGATGGGTGGCACGTTATGTGTTATGTGAGGATGAATGGCAACGTATGTGTTATGTGAGCATGAATGGCAAGTTATGTGTTACGTGAGGATGAATGGCAAGTTATGTGTTATGTGAGGATGGGTGGCACGTTATGTGTTATGTGAGGATGAATGGCAACGTATGTGTTATGTGAGCATGAATGGCAAGTTATGTGTTACGTGAGGATGAGTGGCAAGTTATGTGTTATGTGAGGATGAGTGGCAATTTATGTGTTGTGTGAGAAGAGTGGCAACGTAAGTGTTATGTGAGCATGAATGGCAAGTTATGTGTTACGTGAGGATGAGTGGCAAGTTATGTGTTATGTGAGGATGGGTGGCACGTTATGTGTTATGTGAGGATGAATGGCAACGTATGTGTTATGTGAGGATGAATGGCAAGTTATGTGTTACGTGAGGATGAGTGGCAAGGTACATGTATGTGAGTATGAGTGGCACGTTATGTGTTATGTGAGGACGAGTGGCAAGTTATGTGTAATGTGAGTATGAGTTGCAAGTTATGTGTTATGTGAGCATGAATCGCAAGGTGTGTGTTATGTGAGGATGAGTGGCAAGGTAGATGTATGTGTTATGTGAGGATGAGTGTTACGATATATGTTATGTGAGGACGGGTGGCAACGTGTGTGTAATGTGAGGATGAGTTGCAAGTTATGTGTTATGTGAGCATGAATGGCAAGCTGTGTGTTATTTGAGGATGCGTGGCAATGTGTGTGTTATGTGAGGATGAGTGGCAACGTATGTATTATGTGAGGACGGGTGGCAACGTGTGTGCAATGCTAGGATGAGTTGCAAGTTATGTGTTATGTGAGCATGAATGGCAAGGTGTGTGTTATGTGAGGATGAGTGGCACGTTATGTGTTATGTGAGCATGAATGGCAAGGTGTGTGTTATGTGAGGATGAGTGGCACGTTATGTGTCATGTGAAATGGGGTTTAACGTCGCGTTCAGGATTGTTGCACTATGTAGCGACGTGCATGCACGTGTGTGTGTGGCTGCTTGTACTAGTCCGGACTGATGCCGATTTTATAGTGCTAACCCACTGAGATACCATGCCGCAGTTTTACATGAATACCCCACTCAGACACAGTATACTGACTCCGAGCCGACCAGTCCTTGTTTTAGCCCCTTAATGCCTAGCGGCTGGCAGGGGTGCGATAAGTACCATCTTTTAACTTGTTTTGGTATGACGCGGCCGGGGATCGAACCCCCGACCTTCCTCTATCCGAATGGACGCTCTACCATTCGACTACGGATGATGTCCAAAAAGAAGAGAGTTTCTTGATGTCGACTTCTTTATGAGAAACGTTATGTTCCTCATAATAAAGAAATTGACATCCATAAACTCTCTTCCTTACGACACTCGTGTAGCTAACCTAATTGTTTTTATATAAGGACATGAAAGAAACTGTCACCCAGCTAGAACTGGGTTTTTTATTCACTCATGTGTCACATTTCCAGAACAGTGCTCACAACCCACAATCAGGTGTGACGCAGTGCGAATCGTCCTCATTTAAATAATGAACGCGCGTCTCTGTCTATAAAAACACATCAGTGAAAGGCAACGATTTGTTTAACTGAAAAGATCAGACTTTTTCTATCGTGATCTATCGTCAGTCTCCTGTCCATTCTCTCTTGTGATATATGCTGTTGTAAATGAATGAATGTAAATATGTTTAGGCGCAGGCAATGACTTGTACACAATTCTTTTCACTTTATGTGAATAAAATACATTTACATTAAAATCAGAAATGGTCAGTATTTCTAAGAAATTTTCCAATTTAAATTGAACTAAATGGACACAGCCTTTGAAGAAAGTGACCGGCTTTAAATACTGGAATTAGGAGAGTGAAATCTTTCCCGCCACGGGTCGGTCTCCCCGTCTGCCACGGTGGAGCGTGTCGTCGGAATGAGCGCATATGCACGTGCCAGAGATGCAGACGACACGGGATTAACTGCTCGGCACAAGTAGAAAATGGATATTTCTACATCTGTTATTGTATTTTAACTGCCCTCAGAATCAATATATCAGTCTCACAAACTCGCTTTGAGTCTTGTATTGTTTCAGATGAGCATAAGCAGTGAGGCGTCCAGTTCCCTATGTAGGTTATAACTATGACTGCAGTGTTTCATTATAACAACCGCGGCATGGTTCATACCATTAATTGCATGTGATAGATTTGAACAAATATTCTTGCTAAATTTGTATAAAGATATCAACTGAATATCATGACTTGACACTTATAGCTATTGTGACTGTACGTATGTCTTTTAATATTTATCGGTGCTAACACGACGACGTTACATCTACAAATTATGAACGCACAATGCCATTTAGAAAGTGATCAAATGTAACATATGTTATATTTGGGATAACACAAATAAGTAGAATTTTGATACAACGAGAAATGTCAAATAATGTTATCATATGTGTATGTCCCTGTCTTAGACCGGGGATTCTATATATGAGACAAAAGAACAACCAAAATGATAGATATGGGGTGCACATGTATCTAATTTTAACGATCCAGTAATGTTCTCATGGAAATCTTAAGCTTGTGTACAGTGTTTCCGTGTGTGTCCGCGACGCGCTACACTGGTGTACAGTGCTAAACTAGATAGTACCATTAGGCTAGAGCTGTTTTTTTTTTTTATCTAAATGTACTGTATTTATTTAATTACTGATAATCGTTGAAAGCTTTTTAAATATTTTCTTTTAAATACAAACTGTGCCTGCCAGTACGAGCTAGAATATGCGAGCTGACACGGGGCTGTCGCACCTGACGATACAATGAACTATCTCCAATGGCAGTTAGAAACAAAAGCTTGATTGGTAAGTGTGCCATTTGCTTTCCGTTTTAAACATGGGTCTTAAAAATTAATCTTTAATCCCAGGCGTCTTTCATTTAACACTCATTGACACTAAAAGTACTAATCTCTCTAATAATCCCCTTTCCCGTAGGCGAGTGCCGAGGCTTACCGATCGCTGCTACGAAACCAGTAGATCGGAACAGTGGGCTGACCAATCAGAGGCCTCGAGCCCGGCGTATCAGGTACGACAATTAGGGAGGGCGGAGCTGTGGATTTCACGTCGGGGCATATAAATTGATGGTTAACCTTGAAAGAAATTAGCACCAACATAACAAATAATCGGGGAGCGGTTTGAGCGTGATACCTGGAAGGAACGTGTTAACACAATTAACAAAGGTAAGTCTACGTTTCATCGTTTTATATGTTTGTACTTCCTAACAGTCGAATTAAGCATTAGGCAAATTTATTAGAATCCAATTATGTAATTGTATTTTGTAGATAAGCACGGGCTGTTTCGTGTGTTTGTTCGATTTTTTCGTTTTCACGAACTAATTGTAGGCTCTAATTTTGTTCGGAAGGATTTATGAAGATTTGATTAATTCCAGCCAATAGAATAATGGAAAATATGGTTGTGTTAAATCAACTGTAATTATGTGTTTTACACGGAAGCAAACTGGGCAATACTATACAGTCATGAGAGAATTTATTGATCCTAAATATTCGGCTGTCAGGGCATACTATTCCATAAATACTAATTCTCTAAATAATGCAGTTATTAGCTTATACATTTGCCTAAAGATCTTGAATGCATTTACAGTCATTTGAAGAAAATTAGTTAAAACTTCGAGGCATGTCAACATGTACATGAAACAAACTGCAATATATATGTGTCCTTTAATACGCAGGAAAACATATTTTGTGGACCATAGCCGATCCTTTTGAAATATATAACAGTGATAAGAATATATGATGAGGTAGTCCTATGTATGTAGTGTAAGCGCGATGTCCGCACCGATATTCCTATTAGAATACACCCATAGCACCATATGTGTGGCACAGGGAAACCAAATATATACATAACTTCTTCAAGTGGCACCATTTTTTCAGTTCATTGATAACGTTGTTAGTATCTACACCGAAAGGTCGCATTCATTGTAATAAAGAAGTTGTGTATCCATAGAACAATCTCCCTTGTTCTATATATAAATATACATAAAGCAACAATTCATTTCATTATATCCCTGAGAGGGTACAGTCCCGTTTCATTCTCAGTCTTTTTTTATTTTCCTTGATTTTAATCGTAATATACTTGTTTGTTTTATATGTTTTTGCTTAAACTTAGTAAAAATCATCAGTAGCCAGAGGGATGGTGTAAATGCTGCTAGGGTACCATGCAGGGAGCAGATGTACTGCAAGCTCCCATGGTCCCTAGTATGGTGGCCTACCTTTGGTTGCTTATAGCCCATCTTTACGATGTATCGTTATGAATAGTCACATTTTTATGGTTACATGGTTTTAATCTATACCTGTGATAATTTTGTGCTTTTACTGTCCTTTGTCCATAGATTTTATAGTCTATATTTATGTATTATTACTGTACAACTTGATTTAGTCACGATATGGCTGAAATATTGCCCATGTAACTATTAATCTTAACTCACTCATTCACTCACTTCATTTTATAAAATGAAAATGTTTATATTTCAGACATTTCCCAGAAGAAAAATAATGCAGAGATACACGTTGAACAACTACATTGACCTGAACCCTATCAAGATGACCTCTCCGACCTGCGAGGACTTGGGCATACCTACAGAAGCTGAGGACATAGCCTACTCATTCTGTCGTCGTGGTCTGATACGCAACAGCGGACTTCATATCGATGGTATTAGATACGATGCCATTAAAAGCAACCCATTTTCCCCAGTGTGTATGATCCCAGTCCCGACACAGTTTACACTGGACTCCGGGCTCGAACCTTCATTTATCCGGAAACGGAACGAGCGGGAGAGGGAGAGAGTGCGGTGTGTGAACGACGGGTACGAGCGGCTGAAGGAGCACCTGCCTCTAGACAACAAGGAGCGGAGGATAAGCAAGGTGGAGACTCTGCGGGCCGCCATACAGTACATCAAACACCTACAGACGATGCTTGACGACCAAGGGGAAATGGGCACCAAGAGGAAAGCTCCAGAAGCTGACGACAAACCTATCTCGAAAAAACGGATGAAGAAGGAGAGACAAAATTGACTGGACTAATGTGATATTGAAGGTTGAAACAGGGTAACGCGTGTCCTTATATGGGCTGCATCCAGAAGTGCTAGTTGAGAAACGTTACACAGGTGTGGTGTAATGAACCATGTGATGAACGTGTAGGTGGCGGTGTCCACCATCAGTGGCAGGCAACCCGTGCAACTATGTGAGGCTGTCAACATGTACGCCATCAAAGTAAATCTGCATATCAACTCTTGTGTATAACAAGGTATGACTTTCTTTACTGTATTGTTGTGATTTGTTGTTTGTGCAATACATTGTTCTACAAAAATAAAACTGCTTTATTTGAAACACCAAGAAGGATTATGTTTTCCTTAAATCCAAATGAACTTTTCAATAGTATATTCTGACTTCGCAGTCCTGACAACTTACATTTGGCTTTAAATCCACCGGCTGTAGTTGGCGGGGTAACTAGTCCCGACTCTACGCCAGCTCACGAACACCATTCTACCAGTACAAGTTCACAAGACATGCGCCATGTCATTCAGAAGAAGTGTGTAAGCAAATTGTTTCAACGAACAGGGTAAATATGCAATCAGAAATTTGACAACGTTTACTAGTTGATTTAATAAGGCACTTTTGGGGTTGGAAATGCCAGGCAATTACATATAATAATTGGAGACCATCGCAGGTCTTCTCCGGGAGAAACCCAGAGGAACATCGTACCGTCTCCTGGATACAAAGGTGTATGGTACTTCTATTTCAAAACAACACACGGAAATATATGTTCGCTTGCCTTTCTTAAACATATTCGAATGATTTGAAATGTGAAACGGCGTGAGTAGTTCTGGCTTGTAATGTGCTACTAAGTCCAGATACGCATCCAGTGAGTCAGTGGTTTGGGTATGTGAGCGTTTCGTGAGCACATCGTTCTCTATCTCAATGCATTGGCTACACCTGTACGTTTTGTGCAGAGTTTTTTTGTAAAAGAAAACAGCAGGCTCTACCTGTGTAAGAAATCATTAATGTCTGGTGTGGACAATGCGACGCACCGTTGTGTGGGCACTGTGAAGTATTTCAAAGCATTCCGAAACATTTTAATGATTACTTGATTGGGTATAAATTTCGAAACAGTCGCGGCGAGTACTGTACTCCACAGATAAGTGTAACGCGTGTGACCCGGTGCACATCAACCATCTCAACACGCAGAAAAGGTTACCGGATCTGACCAGATCAACGCCAGGAATAATGCTGAAACAATCCTTCGTTTTTTCGATGTACTTACAGAGTAATATGCAAACATGACGCGTGACAGGAATTCAAACAAAATAAACCCCACAAGTCACGGCAGTTTAAGCGGGGACACTTCAACAAGAACGTGTTTAGAAAGTTAGAATTGATCACACAAGGGCAGATACGCTATGTGGGTAGGTCAGTGGTTCGTGTTATGCATGGTTTGACGTGTGATTTATGTTTACAGCAATAGATAGTATCAGTTATTACACGCTATCTTATATTACGGGACAACGCAAATACATAGGCTGATAGATGTACACTGATGTGTTTGGGATTAGGTTATGGTCTCTGGTCGACATGAGGTTAGACATTAAGTAGGATTTACATACTATTTTATATTTTACATAACTACTCGTCTTCCATGTGAACCAATATTACGGGTCTTACATAATCCTTGGCTTCTGATGTTGTAGGTCAGTATTTCTGGTTATGCGGCCCATAATACAATTACATTTCATCAATATATTTGTCACGTGATTTTGCCGTAAAGAACACTGACATTTGTAGAATTTAACAAGCGTACTAAAGTATACTTGTTGCAATGTACATTTGATAACAAGGGGATTTACGCCTAGCTTAAGTTAGCATATTTGTTGCATTTAAAGGATACATGATATCATCGCAAAAAGAACATACATACATTTATTTTTCTTGCGCACTATAGCTAGTGTTTTCGAGAAAGGTTAACCTTGAAATCTTGAAGTGATATTCCAAATTTACAACAACATCTTATTAAAAATTTGTCAAAGATATTTGTTATATAGAATTCTGGCTGCAGTGAAGACTTAATACCGAGTGATGCGTCACGTATTTTGAAGACGAAATAGATTCGTGCCGTTCATGATAAACAAAATGTCCTTCAAACGTTGATTTATTTTATTTACAAACATACGTTCATCTCCAATCTGTTGTTAACCATGCACAAGAATATCTAGAACTAAATAACAAATACCTTAACTTGGATACCCAATTGGCTTCACCATCTTCATCCATTGTTTTAGTAACATAAAACACTGGGGTGGATAGCAGTTACAATCCATCCTCAGTAAGGTTTTCAAGTAATTCAGAACTCTAATTTTACTATATACAAACTTATCGCAACGGCAACTTCTGAAAGTACTGCTTTGAAGCAAATTTTCCATCTGAAAAGAGTTTTTAAAATATGTAGTTTGTACTTTTTTTAAATAGATTAAAAATATCTGGTACCCAAATCTCTGCACCATATTATGGATTGGTGAAATTGTACAATCAATAACGGTGCACGCTGTAGATAATGTGATATTCATATGTCTTTGGAACAAATAATATATTGAATTAATAATATTTGGCTTCGCTTTATGTGGAGATGTCTTCCTGAGAGAAAGGAACAATAAATTGGACGAGAGTCACGCAGAATTTCGTAATTGCCAAACCACTAACATATTCTGGTTCATGGTTTAATACACAGAAAACTCTAACACTCCAGGTCAATAAAGTTTTGCAGTCACTAAAAACAAATATAAATGACTTTCACAAGTTACCTTTACATGTTTTGACTCATCTGTTTGATTCAAGCTTCTACCAATCTTGTTGTATGGCAGTAAAGTCTGGGGGTTTCATCCTTCACCAGATATTAATACATTCCATGATAATTTACATTTAAGACGGAGTACACCTGATATTGTTGCAAGGGGGGAGATAGGTCGTTATTCACTTAAAGTAAACCAATATATGAAAACTTTTAATTATTGGACTAGATTGATATTTCAAACTGATAATCAACATCATGAAACATGTCTATGATTATCAAGTGTCCTTGGTTGATAAAGGTATTGAATGTTGGGCTTTTCATGTAAAACAATTATTATCATCATATGGTTTTGGTTCTGTCTGGTGTAATCAAGATGTTCCAAATGTAAATAAGTTTATTGTTTGTTTTAAGCAAAGATGTATAGATATAGATCAGCAAACTTGGTTAAGTAGATTAAAAACATTTTCCAAACTTACAATGTATTCACAAATTAAACCATGCATTGTATTAGAAAGATATTTAACATCAATACCTGTTAGAGTATATCAATTTGCTCTTAGTTCTTTCCGTTGTTCTAGCCATAACCTAATGCTTGAAGAAGGTAGAAAAAATGGTCTTTCTAGAGATGAACGCTTATGTCCATTTTGTGTAGTCCGTGTAATTGAAACTGAGTATCATTTTTGCATTGAATGTCAATTTTACTCAGATCTAAGAAATAGTCTTATACCTAAGTATTACCATTCACAACCTTCATTTGATAGTTTTGCACTCTTATGTCTTGCCAAAATGAAGATGTTATTAATAAATTAGCTAAATATATTTTTCTTGCTTTTAAGAAACAACAGTTTTTCAAATGTATGCAATAACTCAATTGTTTCACTATGTATATCACTTATATTATCTGGCGCCTGCTATTGTTGTAAACCATATTGTATAATGGGCCGATGGCCTCTTTACTGAAATAAACTCACTCACTCACTGACATATTCCTCACTACCACAAGTGGACTTGAACATTGAATAAGAAGGTGTTTTTGTGCCATTTTAAGGTTGATATTGCCAAATCTGTTCATAAGAATATTTAAGACGTGTCACATTCTACTGAAGGTGCGTGTAGACTACCAGGATACTGTTCTTCCCATACGTAGCCATTGCCAACTCCAAATAACAACAACAAAATGTGATGTGACACCAGGCATGAGACAGACATGTGCTAGGTCTAAGGTTAGCAGCAACACACTCATACATTTAATTAATGTGTTTAAGGATTTCTTTTGCAAATTGTGCCACTTTTCTCTGTTGTAATAAGCTTTCAGTCATTAATAAAATATCGAGTATTATAAGACAAGGTCTTGTAAAATACTTCTTGTGAATGCATAAGTTCTGAACAAAGGACATGTTAATCGTGGTCTTCGCCAGCTAGGTTATGTTTATTACAGTGACAATTTCTGCCTTCCCCTGGTACATTGTCAACAAGAGTTTTACTTTAGACGTCCAACTTACCTTCCTATTATCTGCTGCCTGTAATAAGTGTTATGAATCGGGCATATATAACTTTATCCAAACCATTGTTTGCTTTTGTGGGCATATATGGGTAAAGGTTATCTACCCCATCACAGGGTAAATGTGATTTGGGATGGAGATCTTACCTTCCGTGTTATTACATCCGTGACCTTTCAATACCCGCCCCATCCAAACCCTTCCCCGGGATAGTACATTGTCGATCTCTTACAATTTCCAAAATGTTAATTCTGCTAGTATTTGGAAATTAAACCTTCTATCCACACTGTTTCACATTAAATCAATATTCTCCACACGATTTTAGGGGCTTTATGAAAATAAGTGGTAAGTAGATTACCTGTTCTTGTGTTTCTTAATTCACTTTGAAAATAGCATTACTTACAACGACAGACATTTGAATTTGAAGTTTGTACTAACGGAACATGTACATAGCAATAGTTAAAAAAACATCCAAAGAAGAGTAGAACTCTAATATTGAAATGTGTTTATCTATGAGATAGAAGATTGATAAATTCACCCGATGACACTTAAGATAAGGAGCCTGAACATATTATGAATTCTGAATCCGGCATTAGATTTCAGCTCTAGTGGACACTCAAATGCCGGAATTATTGAAAAACCTTTTCGAATCTTGTGTCCGAGATATCAACTTCTATCCTCAGCGCGTGAATAGGGATTACAAAAACAGAGGGAAATGACACAAATTAGCGTTCTAACGTCTTCTTTTCACCATCTTATTCTCAACGAGGTTAAACAGGGTCCACATTTTATCAGCGACCACTTAAGACGGACACAGCATATTGACCAATGAATTTCAGTCGGACAGCGCGCGTGTAATGCACGTGCGTGAATGGCGCAAGTGAACTCATGGGTCACGGTTCGATTCAAAATGGCGGACTTTGTGAAATTCAAACCACCTGCCTTCTTAGCGGCGAGTGTCGGTATCGCATTTCTACCTTAAATTGATTTTGAGAGCCTGTGTCAATACTATTAGTGATAAACAGGCCGATTGGCTCATCAGAGCATTGATC